TTTGACAACTTCATATTTTCCCTACGATTCCCTTCAAAATGATGGTTGACAACTTCATTTTCCCGATTCAATGGTTGCATGGCCATAGATTGAAAAGGCATTCCCCGATTTTGGTGCCACATCTGAAGCGTACTGGGACGGAAGATTCAAAGCTGTTTGGACACCATTGGCAAACACATATGACGGGGGCTTCATAAGCCCTGAATAAATCTGGCTGATAATTCACTAGCCTCAAAATACTGTCTTTGGGGATGATTCCCCTTTACTAACGATAATCTTTGCTGACATCTTGGTGACGTCGTGGTTGAATTCAGCCAGATTTTCATATAGACCGATACAGTCTCAGTATCCCGTTCATATCCCACTGTGTCGCCGTTAGATCCTCACTCATCGAAATCCCATGTATAGATATTTATATAATATATATATAATATATATATATGTATTATATATATATGATTATAGATGGTTGATAATCCCCTGAAAAATCCCAAACACTAGTGGGGAGGTCACCAGAATCCAGTGAAAATCCTCAAGCTTCGGGACATCAAAATCCGAGAGTTTCTCCACAAAGGCGTCGACGTCGCTGTCTAGGCCGGCGGCCAGTGGAGAGATTCGTGGATTGCATCGGGGGGAATTCGCAGCGATCTTCCTGTGAAATTCCGAAGGGTTTGATACGGTTCCACCAACTTGAAATGGGGAGAAATGGGAACTGCAGGGCAGAGTCATATCAACATCTATTACTGGCAACTGCATTTAGATAACCCCAATTGTTGGGACCCCCCTATACCCCTTCCTCCGGGGTTTCAATCGGGGTTGGTTTTTACCATTGACAGGACATCAACTAATTATGGGATCGCCATCCCAAGTAGGATGGACCTTTGAAATATATCAAAGCACCCAAGAGGTGGTTTAAAAACTCCTGTCAATGTTGATATCATAAACCTCCAAATAGATTTTAAATAGATATCTTCAGCTGTACATCATAATCAAACAGTTTCTGTAAGCCACACATGTTACTCCAACTCTAGAGCTCATCTTATTAGATACCCAACATCAGCGTGGACGCTCAGCTCCCTAGACACTGACCTGAGCTCCGAATCGGCAGTGTCTGAGTCATCTCGAGGTGGGGCTGGGTAAGACTGTTCTTCTCCCCACTTCAATATACCCTCTGGTGAACTAACATAGCAATTGAAAATGGCCATTTATAGTGGATTTTCCCATTAAAAATGGTGATTTTCCATTGCTATGTTAGTTCACCAGAGGGTAATTTCATAGCTAAATTCCGTCACAAAAACAGGCCAAAACCCAATCCCGGCCATCCTTTCACACGATCATGCGGTCGCGGGGTCGTTCCAATTTGTCCAGATAGTGCGTTTTCTGCTTATGTCCCATGTCCCCCTTTATATCAAAATATCATCAAATATCCCAGTAATATATTCTGAATTCTATTATCCTATTCATCATCCATTAAATCACCACTTCCCTAGATGTCACCATTAGATCCAGCATCCATAATGTGGTATGTGATATCATGTGACATCACGTCCTCGATATGCTTGGATCATATCCCACAATCCGAGTATATCATCCAATGTAAAAGGTTGGTTGTATATCCCACTATATCCCCATTCATATCCCAATACATCACCATGTTTTATGGGTCAATCATCGTTTTCATCCAACCAACTTGACCACATTTTTGGTGACCCCATAATCGACTGGGAAGCCCGAACTCTCAAAGGCCTGTGCCAAATCACCCAGCAACTCGCCTGAAACAAATAGGGCACCGGCGACAAAATCAAAAAAAAACAAAAAACAAGCTAAACTAACAGCAAAACATGACGAAACCATGACGAAACCAGGCTTTTGAAGTTTTCGTTGAGTGTTTTTTTCGTGTTTTTTCAACAAAAACCAAGCCAACATCTGGGAGGAGGGATTACGCTCCCTCAAACAAAGCGACCACGCCGTGAAAGTTGGGCAAAAACTACGAATTCCGAACATGGTCATGGGCGATTCTCAAGGTCCCATCAAACCACTTCGTATAAACCGACGACTTTGAGCATGATTTGCAGCAATCCTTTGTGACTTTTCTCCCTGTGTGTGTGAAATCCCAAGGTGTTTCAACATTTTTCATGCTTCATCGGCGGAACTCAGGAGGAAATGACTAGGACTCTCATTCCAGCGACCTCGCGACGTGAGGTTCTTGTAATTTCCAATTTGTCCAAATTTAATTCACTGGTTGGTGGTTAAGCCCTACCCCTCTAAAAAATATGATGGAGTCAGTTGGGATGATGATATTCCCAAGATATGGAAAAATAAAATTCATGTTCCAAAGCACTTGACCAGATTTAACACCAACCCATCAAACACATTATTTCTGTACCAATCAAAGCCTAGTGAAAACATCCAAGGTGCCTTCTCTGGAGCTGGCGAAACGCGGATCCAGCGACCTTTCCAAGCGATACCCATGGACAAAACCATCCAATTAATGAGCAAACCTGGAATGACGGGTGAGCCAAATGTACGTGAATATACAATGCATTCATGTTTCGAGTACACTTCAAAGGAATTCGGATTTGCTGATACTTTGAGTTGCTTCCCCAAATGGTAGATTAAGCAACGGGAACATCCCAAACCATTTTCAGCAAATCCAGGATTTGGAATTGACATGTATTTGGAATGTATCTTAAAATTCTTGTTCCATTATTGGTCGGCTGGAATGCTAGATTGGCATCATTTGGCTGTCATATCAATAGAACAAGATGAACAAGTCCCTTTTTCATACTATTTCCAGATGCATTCCACATACGATCATTCTTTCAATTTCAAAGGGATGTCGTTAACCGAGCATGAGGCCAACTTGTAAGGGATTTTGTCGAACCTGAGGCCAGCCAATCTAAGGGTCCCCTTAAAGCTGCCCAACCAACCGAAAGGTTTGAATATCACCCAAAAATTGTGGGGACAATCTCCAACAACCATCAATTGAGTTTTCGGTCAAACTTGTGGCACCCCAAAACCCCCCAAAAAATGGACAAAAATGGATGGTTCAATGGTTCATTCATACAATCTGACCAAAACTCCCCTTGGTACTGGGGAAATGTATGGAAATGTCGACCAACCCTGGTTGACCCCTCAGGGGCCCCAGCCGATACTTGTCCAATGCCAGATTCACCGTGACGCTATCACCACCTGGTGGAGCATTCCGAAGCCATGCGCGAAACCACGGGTCTCTCAGAATGTCGATTCACACCCGAAGAATATATGCATTGTTGGATCGTCATTGCACTGAACTTTCATCCTTTTAAAGGAATGCTATATATGTTCAGAGGCATAACACTTTACTATATATACAATTATATGCATTACTATTTTCATCTATTTTCACTGCCATTGGGACAAGTCACTATCCGCATTCCAATCGAATTTTTCATCATTCCTGCAATGTTCAATTCCTGCAAATGATCACCTGGTTGGCAGTTTCGTCGAAACGCGCCAAATTTGGCCACTGAGCTGTACATGGAGAACCTCCTTGATCTGCAAAAAGCCTTCTGAAAGGCTGTACCATGGTCTGGCTCAAGCTTTGGTTCCTTGGATTCCGGGTGATTCGATGCGAAAACAGGAAGGGAATCCAACTCCGAAACCAGCAA